CTCGCTGCCTCCACTGGCCCAGCTATCCCCGCTGCCGGAGCCTCAGACCTGGCTGCCACCGCCCCGGCACGCGAAGAAGCCCCTCCCCGCCTCAGTGGAGCTGCGGGGACAGTGAGTGCGAGCGGCCGATGGATCTCGGGAGGGGCGAGGGCAGAGGCTGGGGACCTGGCAGGATTAGGGTTAAAAGTGAGGACGGCCCCCTCGCAGGAAGGGGAAATTTAGGTCTGGAGGCACGTGGTTGTCCAAGGATTCTCTTCAAAAGACCTGGGCATGAGGACTTCACCAAGGCTATGCTAGAGGGGTCGGAGATGGGGGTGAAACCTGGAAGGGGCCGGCCTGGCAGATCTGTGTTTTCTTTCTGCACCCCTTACCTTCTGCCACCAGCGAGCACACACAGCCATCCCTTTACTGGACACAGCTTTCCAAGTTTCCTCTCCAGCTCTCCCAGGACCTAAACAGAAAAGACGGAAATGTTTAGCTTTTTCCTTGCACTGTGTCTATTTCTCCCGCACTTGAATCCAGGACTTGGGAGACTGACCTTGTTAATTAGATTTTTCTAACCCTGTTTTCATAACCAGCTTTGCTTTGTACCGTTTCTATTTATCAGAATTTGTGTTATTTTTTTTCACTAGGGATTAAAAATACTAAAAAAATTTGTGTAATGCCAGAAGTCTGCCCTGTTATACTGGTTATTTCCCTGTATAATATGTTTTGATGACACAGACATTTGGAAACTGTAGACCTCCAGACAAATGTGAACACTTCCATAAGCGTTTTAAAGATAATTATACTTCCTGAAGCACAAGAAACTATGCTCTTCATCAATATTGACTTTTTATGTACATGTTAATAGTTCAATCTCCTGTTACAGTCGTGTTTCTTCAGATGTATTTCTGACAGCTTTTTAAAAATTCTTCCTTTTATTTTTGAAATTATATTAAGATGAATTAATACTTCTCATTAACACACTCCAGAAGTAGGTGAAAGGCCTCTCTCTTTTCTATTCCTTTCTTTACTTTTAAACTCTTGTTATGGTTAATCGTCCTTCCTTTTTCTGTTGTGTATTGGTCACGAATAGAACCATATATGGATTGTTTTGAAAAATTGCTTCCCTTAAAAAAATACAAAGAATTTTTGTATCAGTTTACATACCTCTGATGCAGTATTTCATAGTACAGATGTATCAGTTTATGTAACTATTCCTCGACATTGTTTCCCATTTTTCTCTGTTACAAACAATGCAACAATGAACATTCTTATACACTGGAAGGTTCTATAGAATAAATTCCTTGAAGCAGAATTGCTGGGTCAGATGTATGTACATTAAAAGATTTTGATAGAATCTTGCTTTCAAAACATCTATGCTGACATCAACAGGCTGTGGTGAGAAAAAACTTAAAATAGAGAGATTTCTGCTATAGGGCATGTGTGCTCATCAGAGAGACAGAGACAGAAAACGAGAAATCATTCAGGGGGGCAGTAGGGTGTGTGTGCTCATCAGAGAGACAGACCGAAAGCGAGAAGTCATCCCCCAGGTGAATGGCCACACCACAATCCCTTCTCCTTCATTCTCCTCTTGGGATCTTGGGAACACACACGTGCACCCAATGTGAGTTTTAAGCTGCCAGATTCAGGACTCAAACCGCAGTAGACCACATGGGAGTCCAACGATGTAATTAATCATTACACCATGTGCTGTTCCCAACTGTTTATTTCTAAATAATTTAAACAGTACCTTCTGCTTATGTGTTACACATTAGTCCCTGTGTTCAACACTCTTATTCTTTACACCCCTAGTGTTATACAGCTGTTGAAGGGCAAAGTCCAGATTAAAATCCAGGTTCATTTTACTCTAGTGCTTGTGTTCTTTGTGGGGACTCAATCCCAACTCAGTCATGACTGGAAACTTTCTTGGATTGTTTTAGGATTAAATGGAATGTGTATTTGGTGGTTCACCTGTAACTAACATGCCCAGACTAGCGTGTTCTCTGAATTTAACTCATGGTTCCTTAATTCTCTTAGTCACCCCAGTTTACAGCTTCAGCAAACATCAATCTTGTGTGTGTTTTTTTAAATTTTTTTATTCATTGTCATTATTTTTATTGTATTTTGTTTTTTGAAGTTGACCAGAGGAGATAGAGAAGGAAAGTGAGAAAGCAAGCTGCCAGGTCTGGGACTTGAACCGCAGTCAGCCACGTGGGAGTCCAGTTGCCAGAATTTTTATATTCCATTCTCCACAACATTCCTGTTTATATATTTTCCCAGAATGCTTCAGCCAACATTCTGCCTGACTAAATCCTATTTAAATGTCTTTTCTCAGTTGTTTCCCCGTCATTTTTGAACCTCAACCTAAAAGTGGTAACCCTTTCATTTTATTTTTTAAAAAATTTTTAAATAATTATTTTATTTAACTTTGTTCATTTATTTTAATTTAACCAGAGAGGGACAGAGAGAAAGAGAGAGAAAGTGAGAAAGCAAGCTGCCAGGTCCAGGACTCAAACCATAGTCAACCATGAGGGAGTCCAGTTCCCTTAACCACCATGCCATCTGCTGGCCCCTTATTTTTAAAAATTTTTAAAGAATTATTTATTTAATTGTATTATTATTATCCTATTTGACCAGAGACAGAAGAAGAGTGAGAAACAAGCCACCAAGTCCGGGACTTGGACACAGTTGGCCATGTGGAAGTCCAGCACTTTAACCACCACACCACCTGCTGGCCGCTTTCATTTTAATTTCTCTGTAACTTTAAATATCTCCTAGAACTTAATTTTACACATAAATGCCTTACAGTCATATGAATGGCTACCATCTTTTTCTTCTGTACTGGAAGTTCTTTAAAGGCAGAGTCTGTATTTAGCTTTGTATTTCTCATGCATGTGGCATATTGATTTGTCTGTAGTATGTACTTAATGTATTTGAGTAAGAAAGCAAATAAATTACTCAGGAATTTAAAACAAAAACATGTATTAGCATATCACTAACTGTAGTGACAAAAAGACCTGAACATTTTAGTGATTTTTCTTTTTAGAAGGCTTTTGCGATAGGCATGTGCGCTCACCAGAAAGACAGTACAAGGGAAAGATAGAAATGACCCTCCAGGGAGAATGGCTACACCACAATCCCATCTCTTCCATTGTCCTCCTTGAATCTTGGACATGCATACACGCACGCCCAGCATGATTTTCATGCCATGGGGTCCAGGACTCAAACTGTGGTCAGCCATGTGGAAGTCCACAGTAACCACCATGTCACCTGCCGGCCCCCATTTTTGTGATTTAATATTCAGAAGTCTATTAGGTCATGGGACCAGCAGTTAGCCTATTGGCTATGTCACTGGACTCCCACGTAGTCAACTGCAGTTCAAGTCCTGGACCCGGCAGCTTAAACTCACACCTATTTCTGACAGCTTTTTAAAAATTCTTCCTTTTATTTTTGAAATTATATTAAGATGAATTAATACTTCTCATTAACACACTCCAGAAGTAGGTGAAAGGCCTCTCTCTTTTCTATTCCTTTCTTTACTTTTAAACTCTTGTTATGGTTAATCGTCCTTCCTTTTTCTGTTGTGTATTGGTCACGAATAGAACCATATATGGATTGTTTTGAAAAATTGCTTCCCTTAAAAAAATACAAAGAATTTTTGTATCAGTTTACATACCTCTGATGCAGTATTTCATAGTACAGATGTATCAGTTTATGTAACTATTCCTCGACATTGTTTCCCATTTTTCTCTGTTACAAACAATGCAACAATGAACATTCTTATACACTGGAAGGTTCTATAGAATAAATTCCTTGAAGCAGAATTGCTGGGTCAGATGTATGTACATTAAAAGATTTTGATAGAATCTTGCTTTCAAAACATCTATGCTGACATCAACAGGCTGTGGTGAGAAAAAACTTAAAATAGAGAGATTTCTGCTATAGGGCATGTGTGCTCATCAGAGAGACAGAGACAGAAAACGAGAAATCATTCAGGGGGGCAGTAGGGTGTGTGTGCTCATCAGAGAGACAGACCGAAAGCGAGAAGTCATCCCCCAGGTGAATGGCCACACCACAATCCCTTCTCCTTCATTCTCCTCTTGGGATCTTGGGAACACACACGTGCACCCAATGTGAGTTTTAAGCTGCCAGATTCAGGACTCAAACCGCAGTAGACCACATGGGAGTCCAACGATGTAATTAATCATTACACCATGTGCTGTTCCCAACTGTTTATTTCTAAATAATTTAAACAGTACCTTCTGCTTATGTGTTACACATTAGTCCCTGTGTTCAACACTCTTATTCTTTACACCCCTAGTGTTATACAGCTGTTGAAGGGCAAAGTCCAGATTAAAATCCAGGTTCATTTTACTCTAGTGCTTGTGTTCTTTGTGGGGACTCAATCCCAACTCAGTCATGACTGGAAACTTTCTTGGATTGTTTTAGGATTAAATGGAATGTGTATTTGGTGGTTCACCTGTAACTAACATGCCCAGACTAGCGTGTTCTCTGAATTTAACTCATGGTTCCTTAATTCTCTTAGTCACCCCAGTTTACAGCTTCAGCAAACATCAATCTTGTGTGTGTTTTTTTAAATTTTTTTATTCATTGTCATTATTTTTATTGTATTTTGTTTTTTGAAGTTGACCAGAGGAGATAGAGAAGGAAAGTGAGAAAGCAAGCTGCCAGGTCTGGGACTTGAACCGCAGTCAGCCACGTGGGAGTCCAGTTGCCAGAATTTTTATATTCCATTCTCCACAACATTCCTGTTTATATATTTTCCCAGAATGCTTCAGCCAACATTCTGCCTGACTAAATCCTATTTAAATGTCTTTTCTCAGTTGTTTCCCCTCCATTTTTGAACCTCAACCTAAAAGTGGTAACCCTTTCATTTTATTTTTTAAAAAATTTTTAAATAATTATTTTATTTAACTTTGTTCATTTATTTTAATTTAACCAGAGAGGGACAGAGAGAAAGAGAGAGAAAGTGAGAAAGCAAGCTGCCAGGTCCAGGACTCAAACCATAGTCAACCATGAGGGAGTCCAGTTCCCTTAACCACCATGCCATCTGCTGGCCCCTTATTTTTAAAAATTTTTAAAGAATTATTTATTTAATTGTATTA